TGCTAACCTTAAGAAAATCCTGAACTTGGACTCCTAAGTCCTTTTGTACTTCAGATTTATGAAGCTTTTCCCCATTTAGAAAATTGTCTATGCCTCTATTCTTGTTGCCAAAGTGCATAACCTCATACTTTGCTGCATTGTATTCCATCTGCCAATTCTTTGCCCAGTCTTCTAGTTTGTCCAGTTCTTCCTGCAGCCTCCCTGCCTCTTCTACATTATCTATCCCTTCATTCATCTTTGTGTCATTTGCAAATTTAGCAAGAGTTGCCTCAGTTTAGGAGGTTTTAAAACTTATAATCAAACTAGTACTGAATTTTGAGATTTTTAAAGAGCGGGTTTCCATAATTTGAATTGTTCTTAACTGTTTTTTTAAAAGAAATGTGATAAACTGAGCTGACTATAAATTAAATCTAATTACAGAATATATACAGTTCATGAGTTTAAACAAACATATTGCTTTAATGTATCAAATCTCAATGTGTCTTGTTCTCTCAGTAAAGTTGGTCAAAATTTATTATTTCATATTCAGCTCAAAAATTTCAAGAAATGTATTGGCCCAGATTTTCCAATAGAAAGATGGTCATTGCAGCAGTGTAGATGGAAGTTGCATGTCAGAACTTTACAGAAGACAAAATGCAGCTGACTGCAGGAATTGTCCGGAAGTTGAAATTTCCTTAGGAGTGTAGGACCTTCTGCAAATGTCTCCTACTCCAAGTTAGAGTTGGAGGGTTGTAACTGGCTGTAGTTTAACTGTTACCCAAGAAAGGTTAGAGAATTAAGACCTGCTCTAATTCCTGGGCAGCTTTGCAACTGAACCCTGACTCCACTGACAGTACTGCGTCCCCACCCCTCCCACAGTCCATTACGTCCATACCCACTCTACTCCACTGGACACGACACTTCCCTGACCTGCCATCCAACTCCACCCCACCCTGAGCATGTCAAACCTGAAGTGCTATACCCTGCCTCAATTCCACCACCCATCCCAATTGGATTTGACCTACCTACTGTCCTACACCTGCTTATTCACCTGGCATCCTAAACCGTCATCTACCTGGCTCCCTACCCCACCAACTTACCTGGCACCCCATCCCAACACTACATTGCACACATAGTTTCTCTCAATAGCTTTCAGAGTGGCTGCAGGACCTTTAAATCACAGAACATGGCCTTTATTACTGTAAAAAGATGTGTAGTTTCCATGCTGACCCTCTCTGCTCCTGTTTTCCTGGATTTGTTTGAGGTGCTTTGGGGGAAAAAGCTCCTGGCCTGCAAGCAGAAAGAATTCATGTCAATGCATGTGTTTTTTTTAGTCCAATCTTGAGAATCTAGCCCATTGGATGTTATAAACTTTAAATATTTCAGTGACAATTTTGAAAAGCGCACAATGTGATCTGTAGCTCTTTAGAGGTATCTGTTAAATAGGATGCCTGGATACAGAATCTATTTTCAGAAGCTGTTCTCCTGACTGAAACAAGAAAAATCTTTCTGAAATGAAATATCCATATCCTATTGGAAAATGTTTTGTAAACTCAGATGAATTCATTTATTTCCATGTGTTTCTAATATTTGACTTGAAAGCTACCATTTTGTCTACCTGAGAGAGAAGACATATGGTTTGTATTGCTGGAGGAAGTAGGTTTGTAAACCACCGTGTTTCTCTCATGGCATGCGGTAAATAGCACAAGTTTAACAGAAAAGAAGGCTTCCAGGCATATTGGACAATTTATTGACATTCCATACTTTCAACCATTTGCTTAGACTGTTGCCCTCTGACCTAGCAGTCTGGTTCTCTTGGGTCTCTGTCACACTTTCAAAGATATGTAAAGTAGTTCCCCTTGTTATTCTGGGTCAGTCGTGATTAACAGTAAGACCATGAGGCAAAGGGCATAGCTGGTTGGATCAGATATGTAAGGTTTCTTGATTGATAATACTTCAAAAAGATTAACATTTTGGGTTGAGGAGAATCTTTTCAACTTTTAAAAACAATTTAAACTTTGTTTATCGTTTTGTTTGCGGTATGTCACTTTGAACTGAAAATACGTCTCTGGAATTACTTTTAAGAGCTATGCTCTAAGTAATATTTAATATTCTGTCTGCAATCTTTCACCTAGTTACCTTAATTAAGACTGCATTAGTCTTAAATTATATTAAGTTATTTCAGCGCAGCTAATAGTGTATTTATAAAGGTTCCTCAGTCCTGCTGATGTGGAAACAATTCTGATGAAATTGAGACAAAACAACTATGTCTGTAAAACCAGTTTTTATTTTGAAAAAAGTTATTGGTAGTTTTGTTTCTAATTGCCAGTGGCTAGGAGTACACATATAGGAAAGCGAGTGCAAAACTATTCTGCTGGCTTCTAAAAGTCTGTCTAACACTAAACTATTCAATTTCCTGCCTATATAAGAAAATAAATTAGCTTATTTCAGGCCATTCCAAAGCATCTTCTAATAAATACTTTTGAAACTAAATTGCTTATTTTTGTTTTAAAATTCATTCATGGGATTGGGATGTCACTGCTTAGGCCACCATTTTATTGCCCAGAGCACTATTGGACTGGAATCATATGTAGGCCAGACCAGGAAAGTATGCTAGATCTCCTTCTCTAATGGGCATTAATGACAGAGAGTTTTTTAGAACACTTTACAATGATTACATGGCCATCAGACCAGCTTTTCAATTCCAGATTTTTATTGAATTTAATTACATTCTGTGCAACAGTCAGATTTGAACCCATTAGCATGAGGCTCCCGATTACAAGTCCAGTCACATTATCATTATACCACTGCCTCCTTCTGTTACGCAGTGAAACTTGGTAACCAATTTGTGTATGGCAAGCTACGAACAATATAATTACCAGTTTACTTGTCATACTGATGATTGCAGATCAGTGCAGTATCCTTCAAAGAATGCCATGCAATTTTTGCCTCCATTTAATGTTGTATTCATGAAATTGGAAGCATGGTATTTCTTCAGTGCTACACTGAAACATAGATTGTTTACTAATTTTGCATGCTCAGAAATTTTAGGAATTTGGTGATAAGGCCAGAAAGTGGAGCTGAGGTGAAACATCATCCATGGTTGGATTGAATCCTGCAGCAGGTTGGAGATTTAGATGGCCTATTTCATTTCCTGTTTTCTTATGTTCTTACGCTCTCAACATAGTCAAAATGAGTCCATCCCTCCAACAACAGAAGCCTGTGGAATGATATTCCTGTTGAGCTGCCACAACTCTGGAGATAACTGCAGAAACAATGCTATATGTTTAGGTATTGGATGCCCAGAAGCCGGTAGCTCCTTTCATTCATTTTATTGCTGCGTCTCTGAAATCAAAGCTGCTTTTGTTCCCTGTGAAGAGTAATGTAAAACTATGTCCTGCTTTCTGTTTATTTACTGCTCAGGCAATGAATTAGTAATAGATTTAAAAGTAGAAGTACATTAATTGTTTTACACACAATCTAATTACAGGGTATTTTAACAAATGAATGTACTCATGAGAGGTCATCTACTTCCCATCATTTCCCTACTGGCATAGTTTTGGAAATCTCTTAGCAGTTCAGAGTTTATACACTGCTGTGCATTTACCAGTTCAATATAATCTTAAACAAAAACAGAAATTTCAGGAGATACTCAGCAAGTCTGGCAGCAGCTGTGGGAAGAAAGCAAAGTTTATGTTTTGGGTCCAGTGACCTTTCCTCAGAACCTTTCCTGCCCCAAAAAAATTTGCCTGCCCTGAGTGTGAAATTTTATTTTTGCATATCAATGCCAAATCATACTTTTGGAAAGTGTAACATGCAGCGCAAATATTGTGCAATGTCAATGATGGGCATATAAGTCAAACCAACATTGTTTACATCAAATCCAACTCAGCAATTTTAGATCAGAAATGCCTTTATTTACTCCAAACAGTATTGCTGACTACCAGCTAACTTGTACCAACTGGTATATCTTCCATTCTGTCTTGTTCTGCTGAAAAGAAATTAAGGGATAAAAAATAAATGCTGAGTTGAAGAAATGGATTATTTAAAATGTATATTAGTGAATTTGGATATATACGATCCTGTTCAATTTAATTTCCTTTCAACCTCATTGAAATGCTCATAGAACATTGTTCAAAGGCTTTTGAACACCTTGTCTCCTTCTGTTTTAAATTACTGCTTTGTCCAAGCAAAAATTTTTAAACCATTGTGATGTATGACTCAGGTGGAACCAGTCTTAGTTTAGATATTAATGGTCCAACATTATACTTTTCTGCAATTACTCATTTAAATTAATTATGTTTCTGTTAAACAATGGAAACGTTTAACTAAAATGACATCTGTAATATCAAAATTCCAAAGGTTTTATTTCTTGCAAATTGCTTAATAAGTGTGATCTTATTGTAGTTAGAGTGGTGTGGAATCATTGTTACAATATTGCTGTGAGGAAATTGAAGCCTCTTATATACTATGATCTAAATGTTTTTGTCCTGTATGGGCCTCAACCCCAAGGGAATATCAAGGAAACTGCTTTACTGTGATCCATTTAGTAGAACCTCACTATAACAGATGTCAGATCTTAAAGTTTAGAGTTGTGTCTGAATTGCAGGCAGTAAAAAGCAGCAAACTGATTGTTGTCTTAGCCATTGGTTACATTGGATGCAACAGTAAAAAAAAAAGTGGGAAGTGCAGAAGAGTTTTTAAGTTTTTTTTCTTATGTATGGATGGTATGCACAAAAGCTCAATACACATTTTCTGTAATTGATGCAACATCAATCACATCATAACAAGAAAGATGATGTGCTTATGAAGCCATTCAAAATCATGTATAATTTTATTTGCGATTTCTCTAGTTCTTGTTCTGAAAGTTCTTTTGTTTTATGTATTGCATGTGGCAGTTCCTTTCAACTTAGTGCTTATATATGATAAAACTAGTATCACAAGCCCTAATGCTGTCACATGAAAAAGGCTGCATTTCCCTTTATTTCCAATGAACAGCACTTCTTAATTTTACTCTTCAGACTGTGACGATTCTTGAACAGCGACTTACATTAACAGAAGACAAACTGCGTGAATACTTTGACAAGCAACAGACGTCATGATTACAGTAAGATCTAAGGTTTGAAAACCCGGAGCAAAATGCGAGTGGAATTGAAAGATTAATCCTCTTTTTTGACAGATATGCTTAATAGACATTAATTCACACAAATCACTACTCAAAGCTTTGTTAAATAGTTGGTCTTCCTTGAGTTAGTCTGTTGCCTGAGTATATCTGGCCTGCCACTTTCAGTAGTGATGTGTATGCCGATTTTTGTACTTTTTATGTACTCATTCCCTCTGTGAGAGAGTATTTCAAATGCAATAAATTGTTTTATATCATACAGAAGTAGATCCATATGTATTGCTATTTTATACATTCTAATAAAATTGTGATATTGAAGTTTGCAACTAAAATGTGTCATTTCCATCAAATGTGCTTTAATTGTTTATAATGGTTGAAAATAAAGGGCTGGCCTTTGTCAGGGAAGCAATGACCCTGACCACCGATCAAAAAGCCAGGCAACGCAAAAGCCTCAGTAATTTAGAGCAATCCCCAACTGGAATCTGTGGCAAACAAGCTGCCGATGATAAAACTCCACTGTGATATTTTTCTGTTTGCTTATACATACTAGGATCAATGAATGTTACCAGGGATTTATAAGCAGGAAGAAAAGCAGGTATAACTTCTGTATAAAAACAGAAAATGCTGTAATTATTCAGATCTGACAGCATCTGTGGAGCAAGTTAACTGACTGGATCGTTTTCCTGTTTGTATGACAGGTGGAGAGACCAAGAAAATAGTAGGAGTGTTGCTCAAAGCATTCCTGTAGCCGGAAAACTTTCCCAGGAACTGGTTAGGAATGGTTTGGCTGCCCATTCCTTTACAGCAGAGGGCCAATTATGGTAGTTAAAAGTCCGAAATAGGAAAGGTGTCTGCGAGTTGTCCAGCATTTTGTTGTTATCAGAGCACCACTCTGCCATTGCCAGCCAAATGGAGACAGCCTCCTGAGATCAGGCAATTTGGCCATCAGAACCAGAGGCTTCACACCCCAAAGACAGGGCCACGAGCTAGAAAGGCCCTACCTGACAGTCCAAATATTTATTTTGGAGGGATTTCTCAGTGCCTTAGCCTGGCTAGTTTTAATTTCTGTGAATGCCTCCAAGGACAACTCTAGGTTGAGGCATCCTCACAGTACCTGACCTTCCTCAGCGGGCACAGCTCGCAGGAAAATCCAGCCTGGTGTTTCAGATCAATCACCATTTGTCAGAACTGCAAATAGGTTAGAAATCCGAGTATTTTAAAGCAAGTACAAATATAAGAGAGGGAAGGCTCAAGAAAATGGGCTCTGAAAGGATAGAAGGAAAATTAAATGAAAAACATTCATGGCCTTGTAAGGCATAAAGAGGTGATAAAGGGATAAACAAACAAAAAATGTCCTGAGGAACAATAACATAAATTGCTGGAAAAACTCAGCAGGTCTAGCAGCATCTATGGAGAGAAAGCAGAGTTAACGTGTGTTCTGAAGAAGGATCACTGGACCTGAAATATTGGCTGTGCTTCTCTCCATAGATGCTGCCAGGCCTACTGAGTTTTTCCAGAAATTTCTGTTTTTGTTTCTGATTTCTAACATCTGCAGTTCTTTGTTTTGTTTTTTATGTGCCTTGAGGAGCTATTAATGGAAATTAACCATTACAAACAGCTGTTTTCCAAAAACAAAACCACGAGGTAAAATGGAGGGGAAGAACTTATCATCTAAAATCTGGCGTGGAGTCCTGAAGATTATAAAGTGCTTAATCAAAAGATGAAGTGCAGTTCTTTAAGTTTGCTTTTAAAGTGTATTGGAACAATATAGAATTTCAGAGTGGGAGTGGTGTGAAAATTAAAATGACAGGTGATTGGAAGCTTGGTGTCAAATGGAGGTGTTTCTCAAAGTGATCAACCAATCTATGGTTAGTCTCCCTAGTATAAAGGACACTGCATCATTAGTAGTAAATACTGAATACTAAATTGAAAGAAGTATTAGCAATATGTAGTCCAGCTAGGAGTGTTTGGAATTTTGGACAGTGAGAAAGGAAGAGAAAAAAGGATAGGTGATCTAAACTTCTTTTATCAAACAGATACCACAAGTAATTCTGTAGAACAATATGCTGGGAATTTAACCTATTTCTACCACCACAAGATATTGGGTGCCTGAATGTGTTCTAGCCCTGTAGGCATAATCTATCTTGGCTGAATTGCAAGATGTTTAATGTATATGCCATGTGTCAAAAATATTTTCCATACACTGCTCATCTATGAGAAATTTGATAAATATCATTTTCATTCCCCTGATAAACTACCTGAAATCTATTACAAAACCCCACACAACAGTTATATCTCCTTGAGATAGATTTAAACTGCACTGGCAGAATTTAAAAATGCACTGTAAGAGCATCTTCAATGGAGATATGTTGCAGTCATTTCTGTATTTTCAGTGTATACTGCATTAATGCATTTACAAAATGAAGTCTAGAAAATTTCTACCGCCCATCAAACATCAATTTTAGGTTCTAAACTTATATCTACACAAGTCTCCTTACTGCTGCACCTACCTCTGACTTGGTATATTTTGCTTACCATCTAGCTGTGCTTTCAAAAATGGACAGGATATAAAAGGAGTTTCAGAGATAGTAGGAACTACAGATGCTGGAGAATCTGAGATAACAACATGCAGAGCTGGATGAACACAGCAGGCCAAGCAGCATCAGAAGAGCAGGAAAGCTGACGTTTTGGACCTAGACCTTTCTTCAGAAATGGGGGAAGGGAAGGGGGTTCTGAAATAAATAGGGAGAGAGCGGGAGGTGGATAGAAGATGGATAAAGGAGAAAATAGGTGGAGAGGAGACAGACAGGTCAAAGAGGCGGTGATGGAGCCA